AAACAAACAATACTTGGCAATTTCATTGCAATCGTTCCAGTTGATAATAAAATACTTTTTTTTGTACATTTTAATTTTAAACCCATCCTAGCACTTTCGCACAATGTCGTTGTTGTTTGTTTTATCGCTGAACAGTGGGCTATCTACAATGTCCAGATTTTAGCTCTCAAGCTTAATGTTCAGCCGGGGAGCCGCTCAATGCCAGTGATTTGTGCCGCTAATCTTTACATTATTCTTTTTCTAACGTTGTAGGTACATGTAGAATCATGTATATTTATTCAATAAATTGATTATGACATTTATATTTATAATTTAAACATTTTACTCCCGTACGTGTTATTCCTACTACATTAGTTATCATTTAGCAGATAACTACAGCCTAAATATATAACACTTGTCACAGCCTTTCCCAACTTAAAATAAATTTTACCATTGATTAATCTATTTTACGCCGAAATGAATGTTGTCAGAAAGAATGCATTGAGAATATATGTCGTGAAAAACAGCCTAACGTATCTTATCTTATTTAATGATAAGTGTAGGTAAAAACATAAAACCACTGAGGCAGACAATACACATATATAACAAGAGAATTAAAAAAATGTTACCACGTACTTTTAATAGTTATTTGTAGTTTCTATTTTCACCAGACTTCGTTTATAACAATTCCTTTAATGGTCATGATGTCACAAGGTAATTATCATTGACTTTGATTAAAGTAAGCTATCTATATAGATCAGAACTAAAAATTAACTCAGTTACGAATGTAGCTAGCTAAATCTTTTGTCTTTGCTTGTAATGATTAGAATGCATTGATTGATGCACCAGTTGGAACAGAAAGGTAGTCGCCGTTACTTTTTTACTACCTATTGTTGTAACGGCTTTTGTTGGACGTGTTTTTTGGATTACTAGGTAAAAGGAGGAAGCAAAGTCAGTTTAGTTGATGATAGCGAAAGCGTTTTATTTCTCCGATTAGAAGTTCTACAAATTTCACGTACTAACTTAATCGCCAAGCGATAGGCCTAACTACCAACAAAACTTAAAAATCTCTTACTTGCTATTTTCCCTCGTGCTTGTGACATTTTCTCGTATCTGTAAAACTTCGTTGAAACACAGTATTCTCAAAACTGAAGTAAGGGATAAACCTATCAACAAATTCGCTAACTCAGTAATCAAAATAGCAACTGCTCTAGTCTTAAATCGCGTTTTATATCATCAAATCATTTTCTAAGCTTTCAAGAAGATTCAAGTCATTAAGCTATATCAAACCTCCCTCTGCCAAACAACAATACATATTGCACAAATAAAGCAACGTTATATTAAATTTAAACTTCTGTAACTGACAAGAAAGTAATTCTCAACAATTAGCATCATAATATTATTTAATATAGACTTTCTAGTCATTAGCTAAATATGTGAAATAAAGTAATACAATAAAAATTTTCATTATTAAAACAGCTCTTTTTTTACTCATTTATTGTCCCTAATCTATCCACTAAGGCATCTTAACTTGACCACATACCAACCAATCCATCATTTCACGTGGAGATTTTGAAGATAGTTGAGCAAATCTTTTCATATCTGTAGCAAGTTTGGCTAAGCTGTCGCTCCTCTCCTCCTCACTTTGCTCTTGACATTTCCTTTAAAACTTCCTTTTGACGGGACACTCCAAATTTGATGATGCAGCCACCAGTGACCAAGAGTTATTATGGTTCTCTGCTAGAAGGTTATTTAATGTTGTTAAATTTGGCTATTCTAAATGTGCAGCAAAATGAATAGCTTGTTGTTCGCTACTCCATCTAGTGTAACAAATTTGTTATTATATATTTATTTTAACATCGACGCTGTTTAGATTAAGTTTATATTTAAAAACATGTCTAGCTTATAGTGTTAAATATGTATTGCGAAACTCCCGCCTATTCTCCAAAGTTGTAGAAGATTCTCGAGAGTAGGAATCAACAATATATGTATGTACGTAAACGTTTAAATATAGCTCAGTATTGTTATGTAATCTGAATTTTCTAGAAAATCTTCCCACGCCTATAAATACAACCAACGCTACGCGCCAAAGAGAGTGTCTATTAGTAATTCGCTATAATAAGTGTGCTATGAAACTTCGAAAGCTATAACTGTGATTGTTATAACGCTTATCAATCGGATAACTTAAGATATTTGACCAGGAATATTTATAAATTTCGAACATTACAAATCGTTAAACTTCAGTGGATTTTCATCGGACATTAATATTTTTACGAAAATATATAAATTCATCGTGTGTGGCAAAGGAAAAAGCTAGCTAGCTTCCCGGGGAATCGTACTTACATCAATTCGTAATTAACTCGCTCATAGTGAACCCTCGATAAGATATCAAGGATGTACCTGATGATGACAAAACCTTGTTGAAACGTTGTACATTGCTGTTATGTTAAAGTTATATTAAAGTTTTTCTTCATTACCCATTCAAGCCGTCTCCAACCATTATTAGATATCAAGGAAGTTCCAAACTAGAAAGAAGATTTTATATTGTTTGTAAGTTTGTGAAACTTTTGTTTATAAATCTTTGTTTGTAATAACTATTTGTAAGAATTGTTACTGTAAATTGTATTGTTTTGTGTATATTAAAACGTATTTGTGTTAAAAACGACGATAGTGCGTATCAATCTTGTTAGCAAATATCGCAAATTGTCTAATATATCGGCATATATTTAAATACTAAGTCCAAAGTACAATTTAACTACTA